ATTATGGATTCCTAATACTACATAATTACGGATGATCTAATAGACTAATAGTAGTCGGTCTTGGCTTTCAAACGAAAATGCTATATTGAAAACCATAGGATTACCGGCTTTCGGCCTTCAATGTTTTACACATGAGTTTTGCTACACGTACCTCAAAATGTACTCCATTTTTACCTCACCCCTTTAAGTAGTGTCCCATTTAAATGAATTGCTCCATTTATGACCACACATTAGTGGGTGAGGTAAAAATGGAGTACATTTTGGGGTACCTTTAGCATTTGTGTTTAGACATAAATCATTTGTCAACCTTGTTGTGAACTTGTGATGCTCTTTGTTGCCATAATCTGCCGGGTTGAATCCTAATGCCTTTTTATGTCATTTACTTGTCACTTTTGAGCGCGGTTTCAATAAAAACTATTCTTATAGAGCAAATTGCACTATTGCACACTGCCAAATATTTCTCAATTTGATGCACGTACTTTAGAACGTGTCTCTTACACTTTTTGAACTTTGGACAACAAAGATGAATTGGGAGGACCACCTACTTGGACTTCAAAAAAATTTATTGTAAATGTAACATTTTCATAAAATGTCATACTTTAATTAGATATATATGTGTTCGCTCCCTTAACTTTAGTTTTCAAAATTAACGTAGTTTTACATAATATACTACTTAATAAGAGATTTAAAAGAAGAAATATCTAAAATAATTTATCATTACTTAAACAAATAAACAATAGAAACAATTCATTGTTTAAGACTTATGATAATATGTATTACATATATAAAAAAATCCTTGTTTTTAATGTTTAATACTACCTCTGTCCCGCTATGATTGTCCCATTTTACCTTATCCGTCCGTCCCACTAAGACTATCACATACCAAATTTGGTAAAGTTTGTGTGACTCTAAATCATTCTTACTTTGTTCTTACTTTATCAATTCAATATCAAGCACATAAACCACTTTTTATTAATTTGTGTGACACTCCCTCTTGTCTCATTGTTAGCGAGACAGAGGGAGTAATATTTATCAGATAATTAGTACTCGATTTTGTAAAATATCAAACGATATTAAATACCACACACACCAGTTAAGCAATTTTTAGATCATGTGAAGTGAATACAAATTATAAATGTTTGTTGATATTAAATTACACAATTATTTTAATTCTTACTTTTTAAAACAATTTATTGCACATATAATAAACTTTAACTTATTTTAGCATTAATACAAATATAATATGCACCATCTATATGAATTAGCAAGATAATATTATTCTGAAATCAAACAATCTCATACATCCAATTGTAATATTGAGAAAACTACTCAGTGATTCAGCGGTGGCGGATCCAGAAGAAATGTTTATTGGGGGCAGAGTGATTAAGAATACGACTTATGTGCCTTATGTGTTTTGTTTCGATTTGACATAATTATTAATAAAATGCTTGAATGAGTACACGTTGTGATAGCGATTTTAGTATGATAAAGTGAAATATTGTGGATCACATATTTATTTCCAACAAGAAAATTTAACACTTATTTTGAGATAACTTAAAATGAAAAGTAAGATATCTAAAATGGGACGAAGAGAACACTGCCTAAAAGTGGTAGAAGAAAAGAATAAAAATTGGTAAAGTATAATTGTGTTGTTACAATGACATAAATTTGGACAAAATATATCACAATTGTTTCCATTATAGTTTTAACATTGTATTTAAGTATCTACAATAACATATTATTTACAATTAAAAAAATTATTTATTAAAGGATATTTTAGGAAAAAGGGGCAAATAAGCCCACATACTAACCAAAAAAGGTCAAATAAGCCCTTATATAGGAGACTCTGTCCGGTCGTCGCCATTTGGGGCAGTTTCCGGTGGAATTTTTTGATGATTTTTTTTAGAATCTTATTCATTAAGTCTAGTTTACTCATACCAAATTTCAACTAAAACTTCAATCGGTAAGGCATTCAAATGAATTCTTGAAGATAACTGCGAAGTTAAAAGCGCAATTAACTTCAAGAATTTATTTGAATGCCTTCCTCGTTCAATAATAGATGCAAAAACCAAACTGTAATAGATTTTTTTTTGGAAGAACCAGACTCTAATAGATGAATAACTATTTTGATAAGAATGTTTTTATTTGGACTATTTTTTCAGTTCCCGACCAGACTAGACTTCAATAGATCAAACCAGACTTCCATACCTATAAAATGCACAAAGATCAGACATTTATCAGACTAGTTCAGATCAAACTTAAACAGATCAACAAATTTCAGTTCAAGTGAAAATATCCTAAGTGATCAATTAAATTAAATTTATGGATGTACTCCAATAACCATAAAATAAATTAGTAGCATTATAATAAATTTAATAACAGTATCTATTATTCATATTTAAAAAGTAGCATAATGACTTTAGAGTTTTTAATTATTTATGTAAAAAGTAACATACACACTAGAACACATTAAAAAAGAAACATAACAACTTAAGAGTTTTAACAACTAAAGGAAAAGGAACAGAACGATGCATACAAGACTAACCCAACGACCAATGACTCATCAAGGCGCCTAGGTCTTCTTTCCACTCAGGCAACTCAGCCGTCAAGTGTTTCTTTTTTATTGGGTTTGAGTTTAAGAATTACTACGGAGTGGACTGAAGGAACTTATTGGGGGCAACCAATTTTTTATTGGGGGCAACCAGTTGTTTTATTGGAGGTAAATACCTAGACTTTACTATTTACTACCACCTCTGTCCCTTAAAACTTTGCCAAAGTTGACCGGTACGGAGAATAATAAAGTAAAAACTGTGTGGTTGAGGTTTGTGCAAATGAGAGAGAAATAACAAAAACCACAGAATAATTGATTAAAAGGGAAAGTGACAAAGTTTTTTGGGATGTCCCAAAAAGGAAAGATGACAAAGTTTTATGGGACGAAAAGAGTAATAAATTATATGGGTTTAATAGAGTTTTATTGGGGCAGCTGTCCCCATAACATTGTAAGTAGATCCGCCCCTGTGATTCAAAACCCAATTTTTTTAAATAGTATTGGTGGATGTGTATCTTTTAATATCTCTATCTTCAAATAATTTGATAAAAATGTTAATTTTTTTTTTCAAATAGTTTTTTTTTTATTTTCGATTTCTTACGTTTTAATGTATCAATATTTTTTTCTAAAACACTTCAATTATAAAATCAAATTTATTTTTCATTGTCTAAACACTACAAAAAAACATGGGATTCACAGGAATTTTGGCAGAGATTTGACAGAGATTTTGACAGGGATATGAAAAATCCGTGCCAAAAAGACTTTGACACGAGCTATTTGGCACGAAAAATCGATAAATTCATGTCAAATTCCGTGTCAATCCCGTAATTTTTTTGTAGTGAAAGTTAGAGCCAAAACATAGAATGTGCTCTGTAATAGATTTAAATATCATCATGTATCTATTAATGATATAGCCGCAGAGCCCTGGTGCCCTACATAATCGATTAATAGATTTTGAATTGAATTCAATACTCGTAAAAGAATAGGCTGCGCCCGTGACAAGTTTCACGTTATTGGCAACTGAATTTATGTATTTGCCTAGCATAATACGTAGTAGTTAATTAATACACACAACCAAATCCAAACAAAGCTCGTGAATGAGTCAACGACCTTGGTCAAATCTTCCTAATTCCTCCTTCCTTATACATACTCCCTCCAAGTCCCCATTCTCCCATTTTCCCCCTTTTTAATGTTACACTATTATTGACACATACCATATTTAGTACGGAATACTACTTATATTGCTCTTATTCGTTTTTGCTTTATTCTCACTTTATTCATTAGCAACCTCATAATTCTACTTTTCATAAAAAACACGCAACTCTCTTTGGTCCGATGGACAAATGTAGTACAATAGATAGATAAGGACATAATTCAACTAATGCAAAGAGGTATAGAAGGCAGACGTTCTAAATTCAATTTCAAGCAAAAAACGTTCTAGATTCAATTGAGTTTATCAAAACTCAATTTACCACCTCTTAAATGTATATAACTCTTTGACCCATTATGCTACCCTTAAATATGTGTCATATTTTTTAGTGTAAATAATACTCCCTAAGGTCATCTCCAACAAGCACCATCTTCAACACCAAAATGGTGTATTTGGCAAAAAAATGCTCCAACAATGACACTAAACTTTACACCATTACACCAAAATGGGGGAGGGGAGAATTGAAGGATTTACGCTATATATGGCGTACGCCATTTGTAGCACCATTCTCTTTTTGTGTTTTTCTTTCCTTTCAAATGTGACCCAAAGTTTTGATTATTATAGTTTTGACCCATTTTTAAAACAACAAATTAGGAAGTTTTACTTGGATTGAAATTTGTTGGTCCGGTCTGATTTGGTCTGGTCTGGTCTGAATTGATGTGGTCTTGTCTGATTTCTTTGTATTTTTATAACTATCCAAGTTTGGTCTAATCCGGTTTGATCTGATCTGAAACAAATTACAATCAAAGTAAAAACATTCTTATACAACAACAATAAAAACAATTAATTTGATAAAAAATATAATAACATTTAAATCACACAATATTATAAATAAAGTTTCAATTAGTGAAATGCGTGAAAATACATATTAAAATGATGTATTTTAGTTTGTATGTATGAAATAATGTGTGAAATGTCAAAATATTAAATGGGGCTAATGTATAAATATAAGATAGTTAGATACTTAAATAGAATAATGGTAAAAAGTTAGTAAAAAGAATAGAAAGAGAATATTCCTTTTTTGTGATGAAAATGATGTAAACTGTTGGATATAAAATACCGTTTGATGTGATGTTTACACCATTTTAGTGTAAAAAATGGTGTTAGCCGTTCGAGATGGCCTAAAAAAGTTGCAACAAATCTCTCTCCTCTTTCCTACCATAATCCAACTAACCGTATATAAATATATACACACCCATGCATATTCCCAATACGAAGAGTTTGGCGTTCACAATTCATTACCAGCAAGATATGGATGAACCAGAGCAAGAGCAAGTTCACCCCTGCGGCCGCCGCCGCCACCATCATCAGGATCATCTTCTGGTTCATATTCAAGTAAAGAAGATCAAGCAAGAAGATACTACGGGAAGGAACTCCATAGACAGTTTGTCTCCGGCCCAGGCCGGTGGACCGCAGGGGCTCCCGCCGGTTATTGGTCGGCGGCAGCACTCGAGATCTCCCCTTGGCCTCTGCTCCGACAGATCCATCGCTGTTAGAGATTGATTTTTAATTTTGAGGAATTGGTTGTAGACAATACATTAGCGTGTTGTTATTATTCTTAATTTTGATAATTAGATTGAGAAGAGAGCCTCCAATTGAAAGAGGTAAAACCGCCGATTTAGGTATAGACTTGAAGAGCTACCGAAGAAAGGATTTGCGGATATTTTTACGCGAGGTAGTCTAATTTTAGCGACCGATAAAAAATCTAACAGCATGATCAACTTTTAAAAGTTCATTACCTTCTATGGAAAATTCGCTTGTAAACGTCTTTTACGCGAGGTCTCAACCAGAAGTTTGAAAAAGGGTTTCTCAAAATCATTTGGGCAGCCACCTCTATTAATCATTTTTCATGTCTCAATATTAATGAGATGAAGTTACTATTTTAAATAATTCAAAGCACTACACGAGGCCATAAAATTGAAATATATTCCCTTCGTTCCAAAAAAATCTTCTCACTTATCATTTTCGGATACAACGACAACAACATCCAAGCCTTAATTCCAAAAGAATTTGGGGTCGGTTAACATGAATCGATCTATGATATCGATGCCAAAAAGAGAAGGCGGACAAGAAAAGGAAAAAAAAGTTAGATAAAATGAATAAAATAAAGATACATAAATATAAGATAACAATAACACAAGAATATAACCAAGATAAAAGAAAAATAAATAAAAGAACATAAAAAAACTAGAAAATAAAAATAACATAAGAATATAAAAAGATAAGAAAGGTAAACGATAAAAGAAACAAGAGAGGAAAGGTAGACGAGACATCAATCGTCCACATTGATGTGTGTCCTCCACTTTGCTCTCTCCAAAATCATACTCTCATCCAACCCAAGATGACGCATATCAGTTCTGATTACTCTAATCCAAGTCTGTTTGGGTCTTCCCCTCCCTCTCTTCTCTGACTCTTTTCCTCACCCCTCAAGTCGTCTAACAGGTGCATCACTCGGTCTTCTATGCACATGCCCAAATCACCGCAAACGAGACTCCTGCATCTTATCTTCTATAGGTGCTACTCTCACCTTTTGTCTGATTACCCCATTCCTCAGGCGGTCTTTTCAGGTATGTCCACACATCCAACGCAACATACGCATCTCTGTCACACTCATCTTTTGAATGTGGCATTGCTTCACCGCCCAACACTCTACAACATACATTAATGTCGGTCTAATTGTTGTACGACGAAATTTACCTTTCAATTTAGTCGACATACTTCGATCGCATAGAAATCCTGAAGCACTTTTCCATTTCATCCACTCAACTCTGATTCTATGACATACATCTCCATCTAATTCACCATCCTTCTGAATTATGGATCCCAAACAGGGCCGTCTGAAACAATATTGAGGCCCCAGACGGTCAAACAATATTTATTTTTGAGATTTAAATTCAATATATTTTCTCTAGTAAAACAATATACAAAAACTATAACATGAAATGAATAGGAGTGTTGTAGCTAGATAAAAATATTAGTGTACGCCGGCAAAAAATATATGTTATGATAATCTTTTACACAAATTTTTGACACTTAAAGTATAAGCGTTTACAAATAGAAGTAAGTACAATTCAACATGCATGATGCATCATATATGTCTCACTGATGTAAAGGAAACAATTTTTTGAATGTGAATAATGAAAATAAGCCAAAAAATATGGAGATTCTAATTGTCTATTCTACTTATTTTTTGAAGAGCAACATTTATAAGAACATCATTACAATCAGTATAATAGCCCACCCAAATCTATCATCAGGCATGCTTGATTGTAAATAATATGTTTTCAACTTTAGTTTTAATTTTCATTATTATTTCAATTAAATAAACAATTAAATGTATGCAGAACTATTTTTGCTTGAAATGGAGGCCCCATATAATTTGGAGACCCTAGACAAATGTCTAGGCTACCTCCCCCTAAAGTCGGGCCTGATCCCAAGTAACGGAACATATCACACATCGGTATCTCGTTACCATCAAGAGTAATCCCACTGTTGCTACTGCTTCTACCTCCACCGAACTTGCACTCCATATACTCAGTCTTGCTTTGGCTCAATTTGAAACCCTTGCTCTCCAATGTTTGTCGCCATACTTCCAACTTTCCTTTAACACCGGATTGTGTCTCATCAATCAATACAATATCGTCGGCAAACATCATGCACCACGGTATATCTTCTTGAATTGACTTCGTAAGTTCATCCATGACTAAAGCAAATAAGAAAGGACTCAGAGAAGATCCTTGGTGCACTCCAATAGTAATAGGGAACTCTGTGGTCCTCCCTACACTAGTGCGGGCATTTGTAGTACAAGCATCGTACATATCCATGATGATGTTGATATACTTACGTGATATGCCTTTTCTAGTTAAGGCCCACCAAAGAACTTCTCGAGGTACCCTATCTTTGATGTATCACATGAATATTACTCGTGAGTCTTCTCCTTAACTACTCTAATTAATAGTCATTCCACGATCGAGTAGCTAAGTAGAAAAATAACGATAAACAACGATGACTTATAATTATGATAATAAATTGTAGTATACTTTAAAAATTAATTTTATATTATAGACAACTTTCATTGAATTTAAGATTTATATTGAATTTAATTTAATAGATATTAATGAGGTGGCATATAATGAGAATGATACAAAATGTGGGGGTAACTAATTTATTTTTGAAAACACAAGGTTGCATTAATAACTCTGCCATAACATGAGGGGTTAATAGTAATTTTTTCTTATTCATATATTTATTACTCATATTCTCCACCACACATGTTTAGTAGGGGCAAAAAAGTCAACAAATAAAATTAGTCTTCGTATTGGCTAAAAAATGTTTAAAGTCAAATTAAGAACTTTATTTGAGAGAGATAGAGGGAATATAATATAAATGAGCTAGTCAATCAATATCTATAGCTTGAAGTTTTATTATTTGTCCATTGATTTATTTCCATGTGCTGGATATTAATTCCAAAATACTTTAAGAGAGGAATTGGAGGAAAATGCAGAACAGCAACTTTATGATACACGGTTGAATGCAACTGAGGTAAATCAAGATGACTTGGGGGGGTTCAATGAAGATCCTGTCTATAGTGAAAAACTACACAACATCAGATGATGAGGCTAGGCTGCCTGAGTTTAATGAAGAAACAAGATCTATATGACACCGCACCCACCGTTTTTGAAATTCAATTTAAAATTTAAAGTTTATGTATTGATTACATTATTTTCAAACAATTGTAATACAATTAATTCTTTACGTAATGTATGATTGGTCGTACTATCGTTTGGGCCTGTATTATAATGACGGGCTTCCAAATATTTAATTAGGCTATCTGATTATATATAAGAGCCCAACATTCTGTGAAGGAAGATTCATAACCTCCCTAGACATAATAAGAAAGGTCGGGCTGCCCAAGTGTTACTTTGGGCCCAATATTCTAAAAATAGCAGTTTTGGTGGAAAGGGTGATATAGTATATGGGTCAAGACCTCATGACCCACATACTCAGAAGACTAAAACAAACACGGCTAGCACTCACGTTGTCCTTCATCGGCCAGATGATCCTCTGTCGATCAAACATGTAACAACTCAGAATACAGTCTGGAAGCCCAGGAGCATAACTTGGTCCTCCGTCGACCAGGCCCTTCGTCGGCCTGGTCCCACGTCGGCCAAAGGAACCAAAGTAGAGATAAATCTTATACTTAGAAACTAAATCATGTATTCAGCGCAATAAATGTCTTATCTTGTAATGGGCCTCCCAAGTCAGGACTTGTGAGCCCCAGCTCATTTTTTGCCTATAAATACTCCATTTGGGAATAGTTGTAGGGGGTTGAGAAATTTTAATTGGTCTTTTCTCTCTAGCTCTCACTTCTCTCTAAGAACTTATACTCAATCAAAGGGATATTTTAGAACTACTTGAGTGTATCTCACACCTATTATAGACTTCAACTAAATATTAGGACTATAATAATTGATAAATACGGACAAAGGGGTGAGGGAACTCCTAGAGACAAAAACAAACTTCTATGATCCCATCTTTGACATTATTGAGCAAAATAATGGGAGTAATGTTTTCCTCCCATAATTGTACATCTATGAATTATGGGGACCATCCTACACACATTAGAGGTTAATAATATGATGTAGAAGGTTGACTTGGTCTAAATAAATTAGAATGAGTACAAAAAGACATCACATGACAAAAGATAAAACAATAGGACTCATTCTTCCATTTTTGGAAGTATTGGTAGATATTTTGATCCCAAATTAATTAAGATCACTTGGGGACCATCCCACACCTTCCTAGCACTTGCAAAAACAAGGGAAGATGATAATTGAAAGGGAAGGGGTGAACATAGTTGACATTTGAGCTCAAACATTTCAAAGGAGAACAAAAAGGGAGGTCCACCCCATGTTTGATTGCAATCAATTATCTTCCCATCTTCTTTGTGAACCACAAGGCTTATCTTCCCACGACCTACCATCCGAACTCCCAAGAGGTTTAGAGAAGAAGAGAGTTGATAAGTCCATTTTTGTACTTACTTTTCTTATCAAATTTAAGCGATTTTTGGATTGAAAATATAAAAACAAGGCAGGTTTTATATATTTGGGAATAGGGGCAAATAAGCCCACGTACTAACCAAAAAGGGTCAAATAAGCCCTTATATAGGAGGCTCTGTCCGGCCGTCGCCATTTGGGGCAGTTCTCGATGGAATTTTTTGAAGATTTTTTTTGAGAATCCTATTCATTAAGTCTAGTTTACTCATATCAAATTTCAGCTAACAATTCAATTGGGAAGACATTCAAATAAATTCTTGAAGATAATTGCGCTTTTAACTACGCAGTTGATGGGATTATGGGACCAGGCCCATAGCCTAATCGGTCCAGGCCCCGAACATGGACCAGAAGGCCCAAGCCTGACGATCCAGGGCTCGAGGGAGGCCCAATCGATCAGGCCCATCAAGGAGCGGAAGCCCAAGACGGCTTGCCTTCCAGCACAGCCAGCAGCCTGCCTTCCAGCTCAGTCAGGAGCCTGCCTCCAGCTCAGTTAGGAGCCTGCCTCCAGCCCAACGGGGAGCCTGTCTTCCAGCCCCGCCAGGAGCCTGTCCTCTAGCCTAGTGGGGAGCCTGTCTTCCAGCCTAGTGGGGAGCTTGCCTATCGGCCCAACCGGAAGCATGTCTTCCAGCCCAATGGGGAGCCTGCCTACCGGCCCAACCGGAAGCCTGCCTTTCGGCCTAACGAGGAGCCTGTCCTCCAGCCCAGTGGGGAGCATGTCCTCCGGTCCAGCGGGGAGCCTGCCTTCCAGCCAGCGGAAGCCTGCCGCCCGAGGAGCTCAAGTGTTCTCCCTGCTAGCCAGGCCGACCTACTAGCTAGCCAGGAAGAGTAACTGTAACACCGACCCCGGGCATATTTACTTTCAGTGAATTATGTAATAAACCTTGAAAGATGATTTATGAATTTGCGTAATTGTAAATTTTATTATTTCTTTTACGTGAATAGTAAATTGCATGCGGGGCCCACGGTGGGAACGAGGATCGCCCGATAATTCCCGAACCACATATTATATTCATCTTGGTCTAGATGACATCTATATGGTGGTGGATATTTTATTTGGGCCATAAGAAAGGCATGGAGTTGACGGGTTGGTCAAACGGGGCCCAATTACCGGTATTGGTAATTTAGCGGATAACAGCCCGAAATGAGTTTCGGAGACTCCTAAATTAATGTTGGGGAATGTACATCTATTCTAAAGGTCCATAATTATTGGGAACGCGTGATACATTTTATTTGGTCCGATAAAATAAAATATGATTAAAACGGGTCGAGAAATACAACTTTCGGGGCCGATTGTACACATCGGGACTTAATGGGATGACCTCCCACATAAGTGGGGGCCACCCCACGTTTTTATGGGTGCTGATTGACCCAAATTAATGGGAAGGGGACATCCAAAGGTGGCATATCCGGACTTGTGATTGAGGGAGTAATTGGAGGTACATGCACATCCATTTAGGGCCCTATCAACACCTCAATTTGGTGTTTGATTGAGGATAGGTACCTCCCCCCTCATTTGAGCCATACGGATAACCCAAAGGAAGAGAGAAGCTCTAGACATCACCTCTCAAAAAGCTCAAGCTTGAAGGAAGCAAGAGAAGAGGAAATCCAAGGAGAAAAGTATAGCGTTCGAGGTAAGAACTCAATGAGTATTCTTGTAACTAGTTTATTCTTGTATGATTTTTTAGAAATCATACTGTGGAATAAACCATGAGTTCTACATGTTTAAAAGTGTAGAATATTGTTATAAAGTGGTGTTAATTAACTTAGAAGAGTTGGTGAATCGATAGGAGTCGAAATCGCCGGAAACCGCCACATATAGGGAGATGTTCGTAGTTGCAGACTACGAAAGCCGTCCGGCTTTCGTGAAAGCCGCCCGGCTTTGGCCCAGCAGTCCAGATTTTCACTTTCAATCGGCCTAGAACGGGGATTGATCGAGGGGCTTAACAAAGGCAACTATTGTAGCACATCACGAGGTGAGGATGGCTGACTATATTGCTTATAATTAGTGAGTTAATTTCATAAGATTGCCTAAAGTAATTAGATGGGATTTTCATGGATTATTAATGATTAATGATGCCTAAATGAAAATGATATTGATATGAGTAAGTGAAGCATGATATACAAATTTAGAATAATTGTGTATGATTATGTGAAATAAATAGAACGACATATTAATGGAATTACTATGATGATATGGTGATAAAATATACTTTTACTTCATGTATGAAATTCATGAATGGTTAAAAGTGATAATTTTGATATTTGGATTAAATTATATTTGGATTGGAAAATCAATCGAGATGAATTAATTGGCTATGACTTAAGAACTTGGCGGTTCTAAGACTATCCGACTAGTGTTGGAATACTAGTCGGGAGATTAATATAAATAAATGATGGAATTAATCCTAAGAGATAGGATTGTAAATGAGTATGCCTTAAGTAGTCTTAAGAGATACTTTAAGGTTGAATTATATGAACACTAAGGTGTGATAGGGGTAGGCCTAAGGCTACCCAAGGAAATTGATTCTAGGCATAGGATTTGCTTGAGAATTGGATTATGAAAATAATTAGAGTTGTACTCTAGGATGACATGGAGATGTAGTTGGGCCGAGCCCATGCCATGTAATATGATTAGCATGGAAACGTAGTTGGGCCGAGCCCTTGCCATGTATATGTGATCTCTGTGGAAACGTAGTTGGGCCGAGCCCTTGCCACGAAGTTATGGTTGGTATGGAAACGTAGTTGGGCCGAACCCTTGCCATACAAACTTTGATATGTTATATTGAGTCAGAGGATTGTATAGAAATGTAGTTGGGCCGAGCCCATGCTATACAATTGGGGCTCGATGGGACCCCACGGGGTTATCGTGACTTGCGGTCACGGGGGAATGGAAACGATGAATTCTAAATGAATATGGGCCTACGGGCCGACTACTTGACTTTATATAAAGTAAGTACAGTTAAAAGAAAACGGGGTAACCGAGGGTTATGGCCTATAATATAATAGTACCCTAAGTTGAGGGTCTTGGAAATTAAAACGTTGATTATACTTAGTATAGTTGCTATTGTACTTTGTTGGTCCCGGTTGTACTGGATACAGTCTAGAGGGGGGGGTGAATAGACTGTATTGGTTTTTAGCTTTTTAAACTAAGTACCAGATTTTACAGAATAGCCTGTTCTGTTGACAGAACAGACTTGCAGCGGATGGGGTTCTGGTAGGGGGTTCTGTTGATTTAGCCTCAGAGAAGCAAAGCGAGTAGGCCTTCTGTTAACTCGTAAGACAAGTTCTGCTGAACACAGATACCAAGTCTAAGGAGTTAGACAGTTCTATCTAAGTGCAAAAATTTAAAGCAGTAAGTAAATGACACCAGGGATTTTTATAGTGGTTCAAGGAACAACTTGTTCCTCTAATCCACTGTTCCACTAAGCTTGTAAAAACGACCGTTTACAACGCCTTAGTCCTAGCACTTAAGAAGCTCTCCACGTCTTCTTCAAGCCTAGATGTCTCCTGGGATGCACTGTCTGGCTTCCTTTAAGACTGGTCCTTTCACTGAGCTTCCTGGAAGTATCACCACTTCACTACTCCAGTTACTTGGACGTCTTTCTTGTAACAAGAAGAGTTTCTGTTGAAACACGGGTTCCTCCAACTAGCTTCGTTACAAAGGATTTGTAGATGAAGTGCTTGAAGTTTTTGAAGAACTGTTGGAACCTTGCTCTAGTTGGATTTAATGATATGAAATTATATTCTTTCCAACTTGTGTCTCTCTTGTTGAGGATGAAGAGTTTGAATCTCAAGAGGACCTTTTTGCCTTGAATATTTTGAATGTGTTTTTCTTGCAAAGAATGTGGTGAAGTTGGCAAAGTTAGTAGAGCAAAAGTTATCCGGTTGTTCTTCGTAGTGTATCTTTTATACTGAGGGTTGTCTTCCCGTTGGAGGTGAAGGAGGACAATCTTCATTTAATGCGCGAGCAGTTGACTTGACCAGTAGGACCCGGTAAAGTTGGCGGGTTACTATTTTGGGATAAAGTAATCCTGACATTGCGGCCAATCATCTGCAATTACTCTACGGAGCATGGGGAGCATTAAATGGGCATTTAATGCGGGCACTGTAGCTTTTCCGTTCAATACTCCTAGCCGTT